CCAACCCAGCAACAAAACCAGATGCCTGCGCTAAGCCCTATGTGCCAGACCTCGAGGCAGCTGTACCCTACCCATGGGGAGAAAGAACTCTAAAATTCCCAAATTGATTTCTCTGTCTGAAAAAAACAGGTTCTCAATCCACGGCCTCAAGACCCAGAATCAAGTATAATTGACTCCAAATTCCATGTCTTGGCCGATAGGCCCCACGGCTGCCTGATCCCTGGGTCTCCTGAGGCTTCTGAGTGGCATTCGTATATTCTGGGAGCAGAGACAGAACCCCATCACCAGAGCAAGTATGGGAGGGAGGCAAACAGGGCAATGTCTTGTGCTGACCAGCTGGTAACACATTCACTCAAGCCGCCTGATGTCAGGGAAGAAGGGAGTCGCATAGTGGGACAGGTTGAAAGTAATCGACTTTCTTGACAGAGTTTCTCATCTTGTGAAGTTGTTATAAAACTGCAGCATTAAAGTGTATGTTCGGGTATTAGAGCTGAGGTGGGCTCAAAAAAAAACAAACACCCCAGTTACTTTAAACATGTTCTGAATAAAACGTGTAACTAACATAAGCATCACCACCCATAAGGGTGGCAGACCCTGAACATAGTTAGAAATTAAATTCTCAAACACTAAATGCAGTCCTCATAAGAGATACCGCTCTGTGCCACCTGCGTATTTGACAAGTGTGTCATAAAGAATTGAGTAAACCTAGCAGTTACACATTGAACTGCTAACCCCACGGTCAGCAGTTCAAAACCACCAGCTGCTCCGCAGGGGGAAAACAGGGCTTTCTACTCCTGTGAAGACTCACGGTCTCAGGAACTCACAGGGCTGTCCTACCCTGTCCTACATGGACACTGTGGGTCAGAATGGACTCAACGGCTGGGAGTTTAGGGGGTTATTGTTATGCCGGCAGCCAAGCAGCCCGGTGGCACAGTGGGGTGCGCAAGGTCAGCAGGCAAGTTGCTCTGAGGGAGAAAGATGTGCCATTCTGCTCCTTCACGTCCCGGGGACCCCAAGGGTCCTGCAGGGTCGCTGTGAGTGGGCAGCGAGGCGACAGCAATGGGGTGTTTTTGGGTGGGTGTCCACCTCGCTGCTTAGAGAGAAGCATTCGGTACTTAGTTCCTGAGAGGACATAGGCACAACATACTGAGCACTCACTGGGTGCGTCCCACAAGACTAGGTTCCTATTACAGACGGGTCGCTAGAGATAAGGCACGGAACCAAAGCAAAAGCCGACAAAACCAAGGGGGGGGCAAGGGGGGGGGGGGGTTGTCTTTCTTCAAAGTTAAGAACTGAGTTGAAAATGACAGCTTCCAATGCACTTAGTTAACACTTCACCACTGGAGCTTTGGCTTAAAAAGCCTCCAAAGGGACTTGAGAAATCCTTTTAATATAAGAGAAGGTTTTCACAGAACAATGAGACAGAAACAGCATGCTGCTGTTGCTGCTTCTGTCATGGTGGGATGCCTGTATGCGATTCTCACTCCCAGCGCGGAACAGAACCACCGGCCTTGTAGCTAGCAGCCAACACCTACTCCACAGTGCCACCAGGGCTCCTCAAAGCTTGTGATCTCCCTGTCACTGAATCCATTCTGACTCATCGTGCCCCTATAGGACAAGGAAGAATGGCACCTGTGAATTTCCAAGACTGTTGACTCATTACAGGAGTAGAATGCCTTGTCTTTCTCCTGTGGAGCAGCTGGTGGTTTTGAACCAATGACCTTGAGGTTAGCAGTCTAACTTGTAACCATTACTCCACCCAGTACTCCCCATACAGGATGCTAGTATTCCTGCCTAATATGGAGTGTTACTTCCCTTCGCTGTAATTATTCTTGTAAGACGTCTATCTTTCCATATGGGCGGTGGTGGGGGTGGCAGGAAAGGGCCTATATGTGCTTTGTAAATCCCTGATATTTTTTGATACACAATTAACGAACACTTACATAAATACAGTAACAGGCAGAAGATGCAGTCTGGAAATGTGCACGGGAAGAATGAGCTGAATTAGAAACTGTGTTTGTGCACCACTCCGTGCAGTTTCCCATCCGTGAGGCACGTGAGGCACGAGGTGACACCTCGGCCCCATCACCACACTCTGAGGGGCTTCTTACTGGGTGAGTGGGCACAGCGGGGCATGGAAGGCAGGCCCAGGAAATGAATTGCTTTGGGGTATCTGAGAAGTGCTTGTGAAAAGCACTTGATTGAAACCTCAGCAAGGAACACACTAGAGGCGTGTCCAAAGGCGGGGTCAGAGAACTAACTAAGGGAGGCAGGGAGAGGCGTGGGAAAGTGAGAGAGAGTGAGAGAGAGAAACTCCAGGCTCAGTGAAGAAGGCAAACCGGTTGATGTTTGGGGGGATGGGATGATGAGATTCCACAGTGGGCAAGTGAACAAAAAGACGCTTGCAAGCAACAGAAGGCATTTCCAGTGCTCCTTATGGTATTAATACACATGCAGAACCAGCGGGCTTCCCAAATACCACCAACCCGTCAGGGCCAGCATGGTTCTGGACACTGCCAGCCTCCACTCGTGCGGGGAGCTCCCTGAGGCTGCCAACACCTAGAAGTGCCGGACAAAACTCGAGAGCCTCCGGCTTTAAAGTGCAGCTGAGACGCAACAAACCCAAGAATCAGGAGGAGCTAAGGCAGAATGCAAAGTCAAGAGGTTATGCTGTGGGAGGACTGGGGGATCAGACTCCCTCCACTAAAACGAGACGCCCTCGGGGTGTGGGGTGGTGCCTGGAACGCCCACAGACACAGAGGAGGATGGCCGAGAGCAGTGGATCTCTAAGGCCGCGACCCTTTCACACAGCTCCTCATGTGGTGGTGACCACCCAACCATAAAATTATTTTCGTTGCTACTTCATAACTGTCATTTTTCTACTGTTATGAATTGTCATGAAATATGATTTGCAGGACGTATTTTCATTGTTACAAATTAAACATAATTAACCATAATTAAAGCACAGTGATTAATCACAAACAATATGTAATTATATATTGTGAAATATTTACATGCTTGCTGATTGTCTTAAGCGACCCGTGAAAGGGTCATTCGACCCCCAAAGGGGTCACGGCCCACCGCTGGCCTAGAGCCCGTACTATGGAGAAAGAAACAGAGCTGCAGCGCGTGTGGGGTCAGGTCAGCTCTCAGACACAAAAAGGCACTGTGCTCAAGGGCAGACGGATGGAGGAAGGAGGGCTCTGGTTAGTTGTGTTGAGAGATGGAGACCCAGGCCTGTATGGGACCCCCGTGGCTGAAGGGAGCCCGTGAGGAGGACAGTGCAGGCTTCATCCGCACTGCCGTGCAGAGCCCACCCAAGACTCTTGATGTCAAACCATTGGACATGTCCAGAAAATCACCCCAAACAAAATGAAGTCAAACAAAATGGCGATCCGGCTCACACCTCCTCGAGAACTGGCACCCAGGTGACACAGCACTGACATCAACGAACAAAGAAATCATTTTTATAAATGACTAAGGACATAAGAAAGTATAGGATCTCATGAGAAGCTACGACACATGCTATTTTAAAGACTCTGAACAGGAGAAATATAATTATTGAAATTACATGAGCATCCGGGTGTGAGGGAATGATCTAGGGATCAGACTTGAAAACTACAGACAACACAGTGAGGGGGCAGGAAGGTCCCTATGAGGTGTAAGCCCACTGCCACCAAGCTGGTGCCAGCTCACAG